ATTAAAACTGATAGACTCACAAGGAGAATAGACAAAACCACAATTATAGACATTCAATACTCATCTTTCAATAATTACTTTTAAAATTAGAAGGAAATCAGCAAAGCATATACTAAACTTCTATAATACCATTAGCCAACCAACAATAATCAAATAGTCGACACAATAGCAGAATATATTAATATATCCTTCTCAAATGTGCATGGAACATTTATGAAGACAGACCATGTTTTGGGCCACTGAGTCTCAACAGAGTTTAAAGGATTCAACTTGTATACAGTATGTTCTTTGACCACAACAAAATTAAATTAGAAATTAATATCAAAAAATCTCTAGAAACTCCCTAAATACTTAGAAACTGAAATAATCAAAGTTTAAAATATTCTTAACTGAATAAAAACAAAAACACATCAGAATTTGCAAGATGCTGCTTAGGGGAAAATTTATAGCACCGAATTTCTATAATACAAAATAAGAAATATCACAAATCAGAGACCTCAACTTCCACTTAAAATAACCAGAAAAAGAAAAGCAAATTAAACCCAAAGCAAGGAGAAAAAAGGAAATAATAAGGGGCAAAGTGGAAATTAATGGACTAGAAGATGAAAGACAATTTTAAAATATTAATAAATGAAAGTAGATTCTTTGTAAAGATAAAACTGACAAACTAGACTATCTGACAAGGGGAAATGGGAGAGGATACAAATTACTAATAGCAAGAATAAAAAAGGTGTAACATCACTATCCTTTTTGTAACAGATGCAAAAAGGACAAGCTAATATTATAAACAACTTTATGCCACCTTATTCAAAATTGGCTGATTCTTTAAATGATACAATACTAAAGCCTACAATAGAAGAAATATATAACCTAAACAGCCCCATATCTACTAAACTGAATTCTAATTTAAAACCTTCCCATAAAAAAAAAACAAAAAAACTCTAGGTCCAGATAGGTTCACTGTGAATTCTGCCAAAGGTTTAAGGAAGAAATAATACCAATACTGTATAGACTCTTCAACAATACTGAAAACAACGGGATTCTTTTTGAATTATTCTTTGAGGATCACATTACTCTGATCCCAAAACTAGACAAAGACATTACAAGAAAACTACAGGTCAATATTCTTCATGAAAAATCCAACAATATATAAAAAGAATAATACATCACAGTGAAGCAGAGTTTTTCACAGGTTTGGTTTAATGTTCAAAAATCAAACATTGTAAATTACCACATTAAGAAACTGTCTTCTCAAAAGATACAGAAAAGACATTTGACAAAATCCACCCACATCCTACATTCCTGATATAAATTCTCACCAAACTAGAATTAGAAAAAAACTTCCTTAATCTGATAAAGGGTATCAACCAGCTAACAGAGAAAGACAGGATACTTAATACTTTAAAAAAAGACAAAGATCTTCACTTAAGATTTGAAAAAAGACAAAGATTTCCACTTTCTTCATTTCTACTGAACATTGATATACATAAAGATCAATTTTACTTCTTCTTTTCCAATTTGAATGCCTTTCCCCACCTCCCTTTTCCTGCTTTATTGCACTGAAAATAAGAGAGGCATCCAAATTGGAAAGGAAGGGGTAAAATTGATCTTGTATGTAGAATATCTGATAGAATCTACAAAAAAAAGCTACTAGAACTCATATGCAAATTTAATAAAGTTGCAGGATACAAAATTAATATACAATAATCAATTGTATTTCTCTATATTGCCAACAAACAATCAGAAATTAAAATAAAAGAAAAATACAATAGCATCAAAATATATTAAATATTTAGTAATAGATCTGTCAAAAGTTATGAAAGATCTGTACAATATTAAAAAGAACTATGAAATATTGGTGAGAGATATTAAGGAAGACCTAAATAAATTGAGAAAAATATTGTGTTCATGGATCAGATGACTAAATATTGCTTTAACATGTAAATTCTCCCCAAATTGATCTGCAGATTCAATCCAATCCCAATCAAAATCTCAGCTAGCTTCTTAGAAGTTGAGAACTAATTCAAAAATTGATATAGAAATGCAATGGACCTAGAATAACCAAAACAACAAAATTAGAGGTTTCACATTACCTGATTTCAAGCCTTATTATAAAGCTAGAGTAATCAAACATGGTATTGGACTACAGACAGACAAGTAGATTAATGAAAAATAGCCCAGAAGTAGACCCACACATATATGGAGAATTGATTTTTGACAAATCTTAAAGAAAACCCAGAGGAGAAAGAAATGGCACAGAACAAGTGAATATCCATGTACCAAAAAATATAATAATAATAACTTTACCCTAAATCTCAGAGTTATATGGGTACAAAAAAATTAATTCAAGATGGATCAGAGACCAAAATGTAAAACCTAAAACTCCAGCAAGAAATCTTAGTGACCTTATTTTAGGCAAAGATTTCTCAAATATGATACCAAAAGCATGATCCATAAAAGAGCCAATTGATAAACTGTGTTTCACCAAAACTTAAAATTGATGCTGTTCAATAAATACTATTAACAGAAAGAAAACTGAAGGCACAATATAGTTGCAAAGAATTTTTTTTTTTTTGTGAGGCAGGGTCCCACTCTGTTGCCCAGGCTGGAGTACAGTGCATGATCACCACTCACTGCAAGCTCCACCTTCTGGGCTCAAGCGATTCTCCACCTCAGCCTCCCCAGTAACTGGGACCACAGGCACCCACCACCACATCCAACAATTTTTGTATTCTGGGTAGAGAAAGGGTTTCGCCACATTGCCCAGGCTGGTCTCCAACTCCTGGACTCAAGCCATCCATCCGCCTCAGCCTACCAAACTGCAGGGATTACAGGCTTGAGCCACGGCGCCTGCCCACAAAGCATATATCTGAACAAAAGACTGGCGTCCAGAACGAACAAAAGGTTTGCACAGCTACTTTACCAAAGAATATATACGGATGGCATATAAGCACATTACAAAATGCTAAATATTATTAGTCAGTATGGAAATGCAAATTGAAACCACAGTGAGGTAAATAGTGAGTTGGTAAGGATGTAAAGGAACAGGAACTCTCATGTACTCATATTATAAACGCAAAATGATACAGCTACTCTGAAAAATAGTGTGGCAGTTTCTTAAAGCATTAAATGTATAGCTATCATGAGAGAGGGGAAAAAAGCGTGTGTCCATATAAAGACGTGTGTACAGGAATGTTCTTAGCTTTATTTGTAACACTAAAAACCTGGAATAACTGAAATGCCCATAAACTGGTGATGGGATTAACAAATTGTGGGATATACATACAATAGAATATTTTTCAGGAACAATAATGAACTGTTGATACACACAGCAATATAGTAGATAAATCTCAAAATAAATGCTTAGTTGATATAAGTCTGACAAAAAAAAAGAGTGCTTTCTATATGATTCCATTTAAATACATCTCTGGAAAATGCAAACTAATCTCTAGTAACAGCTGACTAGCAGATGGGGTGTTCAGAGAGAGGCATTACCAAGGGGCAGTAGGAAACTTTTGGGGTTTAGATGTGTTTATTATTTTGATTGTAGTGATAGCTGCACAGCTGTATCCGTTTAACAAAACTTATCAGATTATAGCCTTTAAATATTTGCTGTTTATGTCAGTTATACCTCAACAAATCTGTTTCGTTTTTGTTTTTTTTTGGTTTTTT